CTCAGTTGTTACCAACTCTGCAGTGACTGCTTTTTTGGACGAGTCCTTTTGCAGTTTTCAAGGCAAGGTGTTTTGGAAGTGGTTTGCCAGGGCCTCCTTCCTAGAGCAGAGCCCAGCTGGCGAGTGCAGGAGGCAGGGTTTCCATTGCTTCGTGCCTTTTTCGGGCGAGCGCGGCTTCCACGCTACTGGCAACTGCCCCTGACTCCTTTTTGCAAGGCGCCGCCAGCATTTTTCCTCCCACCAGAGTGAGAGTACCCATTTATCTACTCACGTAAGTTTTCGAACTGTTGGGTTGACAGGAACTGGGGGAGGAAGCAGGAGCTCACTCTGCTGTGCAAGGGCTGGGCTCAAACCGCTGAAGTGTCAACCATTTCTGGCCGGCAGCTTTAAGTGTCATTAAGCCGCTGCGCCACCGCGTTCCCATAAGAAATATGGTACAGATATACAAAGTGTTTCCTTAACAGGCTATCTTATTTTCTGAATTGCAATCAGGAAGTTAGAAGGAAAAAAAAGAAAAGAATCAGAAGGTCCCTGGTACAGACTCCTACTGTCTTCTAATATCTGGTGACTCCCCCACAAACAGACAAAAACCAGAAAACAAAATTTGCTGAGGCCAAGAGATGAAAAACCGTCTTCATTTGTCAGGTGATACCATCCAGTTCAGTGTTATTTTACAGCTCGGATGCAAAGGCAGACTAGCTAAGTGAGTTTCCTTTGTGAATCTTACTATAAAATATGGTATGGTACCCACTGACTATTTAATCTACTTAGCATAGGGCTGTTATCTGGAGCACAGGTCTTGTAGGAAGCAAAAAATTATCTTTTTTCAGTTAGCTGGGAAGCTTGACACATTAAGAATTAAGCTTGACATATAAGAATATGTTATGCTATAGATTCTGTGATGTCAATAGAGGCGAATATGTGTAGCTCAGGGTTGAACTGTGGAGTCCTTGGGGTTCTCTGAGCTTGGTCCTTTTCTTGCAAACATTTCATTACCTGGCTTTTTCCTAGCCTACCTACCTAGAAGATGTTCCCTAGCCGGGAAATGAACCGTTGGAAAAAAAAGAACCAAACTCGGAGAACCCAAAGAACTCCACAATTCTGTGATGTCTTG